TTTGTAGTTTTTGTTTTATACCTTGAGTAAATAAACAAAAATACTTTTGTATTTATACTCTGTAGGAAATTTGCTTCATATGCTTTAGGTAATCTGAATGGGGTAATGATTACCTAAAGCATATGAATTGCTTCATATGCTCTAGGTAATCATTACCGCATTTTTTAAATGATCGATAATCTTTTCTTTAGGTAATCAATGTGCCATTGTTCAAGTCACTTAAAAAGTTTTGAATTTTTTTTAATAAAATAAATAATAAAGTTATTTTCGTCAAAAAGATAAGAATGAAATTTATTTGTACTCTTGATACTTTTTTTATAGTTTAAATTCATTATGTACTCTTGCAAAATTTTAATAGTTTCAAGTTGTTTTTAATGAACAAAGTAATTTTATTAGGAGTTTTTATAACAAGAAGTATGATGTTGCAATAGTTGGGGGAGGTATAGTAGGAACATCATTGGCACAAGAAATTTTGAAAAGAAATCCAAACTTGAAATGCATTATTCTAGAGAAAGAGGAAAATTTAGGTAAATAATGATATTATAATATATATATATTTTTTTTTTGTAATATGAAAGGTTTACTTTAATTTAATTTTAATTTTTACGCTTAAGCTTGATCAAATGTGTTTAGTTGAAATTTTGGTTCAATCCAATGAGGGAAAGTACATTAAACAACTGCTGCCCTATGCTGTGTGTTTTATGCTGTGTGTTTTATAAAATTTAATTAGAAATTGTAACTCTATCAATAGCCTACAACATCATTTCAGATTAAGTTTTCTCTCTCTAATTCAAGAGTAGGAAATCTTCTATCCATTTTCTATACGATCTTCTATTCATTTTCTATAGGATCTTCTATTTATATTCTAAATAGGATACCTTTTTTTTATAAATTACCATCTTAGCTAATATTTTTATTGGATTTCATGAACAAACATGGATCAATAACTGCTCCTTTACAGCACCATTATTTTATAAACAGTATGTGGATGATTGTGAATATGAAGCTCAAGAATTTTTCAAACACCTCAGTAAGCAACATAAAAATTTTAAATTTACTATGGAAAAAGAACAAGATAACCAGATTGCCTTTTTAGATGTATTTATTAAAAATCTGATTCATTTTCAACTTCAGTTTATCACAAAAAAACGTATACAGATCTTTTACAAAAATTTTTAAGTTTTATTCCTTCTTGCTACAAATTTGGACTTGTTCATTGTTTGATTGATCGTACATTTAAAATTAACAATACTTGGGTTGGTTTTGATAAAGATATTAAGAATCTATCATTAGTTTTAAAAAATAATAATTTTCCACGAAAAATTATTGACTCTGAAATTAAATCCTATATTGATAAGAAAATGAACCCATCTGTTTCCAACATTATTAATAGCTTAAATATAAGATACTTTAAGCTTCCATACATTGGAATGTACTCTTATTATACTAAAATAAAAGTTTAAAAAATTGTTCATAAATATTGCAAGGATGTTCTAATAAAACTAGTTTTCACTACTAATAAAATATAAGATTGTTTTTGCTTAAAAGAGTCACTTCCTAAACTGCTTAAATCTCATGTTGTCTATAAATTTTCTTGTGGTGGTTGTAATGCCAGTTATATTAATGAAACCTACAGACATTTTCGCTTCCAACAAGGCTGCCACTATTAAAGTTGGAAGTTACTGGAAGAGAAAAGATAAGTATTGTAGAGCAAGATAACAATTGACAGACGACTTAAAAGATTGTAAATTATATGAATCAGGAAAGCAAGGTGAAAGAAGCGAATTCCAAAGAACTGATGTTTGAGGAAAAAAACAAGAGGAATAAGAGTTTTTGGAGCACTTTGGAGACTTAATTGAATGAAGTGTAACACAATAATGAATTTTAGTAGATGGCACAAGAGACGCTAGCTCTTTAGAGCAGTGCCCATTATAGTATTTGTAGAAAAGAGAAAGAGAAGCAACTTTATGACGATTTGATAATTGTTAGAGGTGATATATATACAGGGCGCGATAAATTGTTTTTTTTTCACGGGCGTTGACGTTTGTGTTAAATTATTGACGAACGTCTAATTTAAGTGATAGTTTTTTAACTTTTTAGTTTTTTGATAGAATTTAAGTTTTATATTCAAATAAATTTTTACTCTAGTTAATAAGCTTTTGGATATATGAAAGATGGTTATTAAATTTAATCAATTGTCATATTTTTGAAACAATTTTTCATGCATTTGCAAAGTGCGCGCAAATTATTGATTTTTAATATGCAATGATTGTATACTGTTATTCAACGATGCAAAACTTTTTTTTTAATTTAGTTTGTTAAATTTATTTACTCATAAAATATACGTATAAACGTAAAGAAATTAAAATAAAAGGAACTAAAGAAATAAATCGAAAAATGACGTTTCATTTATAAATATATATTAATTTTTATATTTATATTAATGGATTAAAAATCGCTAGAACTACCAACCACTGCGTCAATCCAATTTTTGACATGTTTTTGGGGCAAAAAATCTTTAATTAACTGGCCATCAAGCTTTATATGCATAATATCTTCTAAGGTATCGTCATTTAATGAAGTTGGCGAAATATGTTTTTGTATGTTCATACAAGAAAAACTGCGTTCATAACTTGCTTTGAAGCGCTGAAAGTTAGCATAATCTCTAACAAGACATTTATACTTGCCGATTCAGTTTCATTAATATTTTAATATTTATATTTTTTTAATTAATAATTCAAAATATCATTATAAATGGTTAAAAGTGAATTTATCCTTAGTTTAGAGACTTTCTCCCTGAATAAAGGTCACTGCAATAGACATAAATAAGAAGTTTCTCTGCTTATCATAATATTGTTTTCATAAAAGTTGCAAACACTTTTTATTTCATTAAATCCCTATTTTATCAACATTGCTAATATTTGGATACTTTTGGCAAACCCAGCAAGTGAAACACTCATTTGATTTGTCAATATAAATCCAGCTTAGTTGTTGCCCGTGTTTTTTATTGCTTGGCGGCAATCCACTTATGGTGTTATAAAACATAAATTCAATATCTTTTGGCCATATATCCAATTTTCCCAAAGTCATAGCACAATCCAAGTCATTAAACTTTTTTTTCGCATGTTTAGTTTCTCTCTCTGCTTCTCCTTTACGTTTAATATTACGTTCCTCTGTACCATCTCTCTTTAACATCGAAAAGATTCTTAGTTGTTTTGACATTTTTTAAAAAATTTAAAAATAATAGTAATTAAGTATTTAATAATAAGTTAATAAAAATATCATATTATTGGTGTTGTTAAACGCACAATAAAAAAATTTAAATTTTAACAATCATAATAACTTTATATATTCTATTAGATTATTTATTTTTTAGCAAAACTTGAGCATTATTTTTAAAACTTTTATAAGTTTTAAAATGCAAACTAACATTACTTCACTTAAAGGAAAATAAGAAAAAACAAAAAACACGCTATTAAAAAAAGCAATCGTTGTTTAAGCATGGTTTTTTTTAACGTAATTGCAAATGGAGTCATTTTAAATAAAATTTTGAATGCATTTTTAAAAGCATGCAAAAACCATGCTCAAACTAATTACTTTCTTTGTTCCATTAAAGAAAGTAGCTTTAGCGTGGTTTTTTCGTAATTAATTGTTTTTTGTGTTTTTTTTAATAAATAAAAAACGATCAATTGTTTGGAAAAAAAAAATTGCTATAGTAACCCGTTCATTTTGAAAAATTTTAGGCAAACGCCAACGTTTGCATCAGGAAAAGTAAAGGAGCGTGACGTTCGTTTTTCTGTCTTTTTTTATGCAGACGTTTGCACGTTCGTCGATTTTTCGCGCCCTGATATATATGTATATATATATATATATATATATATATATATATATATATATATAATATATATATATATTAAATATATATATATATATATATTAAATATATATATATGTATATATATATATATATATATATATATATATATATATATATATATATTAATATATATATATATATATATATATATATATTAAATATATATATATATATTAAATATATATATATATATATATTAAATATATATATATATATATTAAATATATATATATATATATATATATATTAAAATTAAACATATATAAAGTAGAAAAATAATCCTGCTGTAAAAGTAACTCCCAGCAAAAATAGAAAGTTTATTTTGATTAAAATTTAATTGCAGAATGTAAGGACCTTTTTTTTTTTAGGCGCACCTAAATTCCCAATTTTGCAAAAACACTGTATGAAATTTTTTCCTGGGTAACACCCTGGTATATATATATATATATATATATATATATATATATATATATATATATATATATATATATATATATATATATATATATATATATATATATATAATATATATATGTATATATATATATATAAAATATATATATATATAAATATATATATATATATATATATATATATATATATATATATATATATATATATATATATATATATATATATATATATATATATATATATATATATATATATATTAGTTAAGGAGCAACTGTCAAGAATCTTCTCATCATCAATAATTTTATTCACATGGTCACTTATGCATTTGTATAATTTAATAGTTCTTTTCTGAGAAAGTAATTTTGATGAAAGAAAGTTATACTTTCCCTTCGTTGCTTGCTTCATTATTTCATTAAAATGTTTATAACCTAATATCTTATAGGCTAATCTTTAATGGATGACAGTTAGCTACTGATGTAGCTATTTTTATATTTTCAAACTGGTATTTTGGCCTTTAACTAAAAAAAAAGATTTTTAGAAGCTCTAGCAGTTCTTAATTTACAAGATTGAGGGCATGACCCAGGAGTGATAACAACCTAAATTCATTTGGGTGAACTGATGAAATTGTTGTCTTATGAGTCGTTATTATGAACAATGTGAGCGCTTGTTCAGGCCTGTTGGGTATCATTGAGTTTCTCATATTTTATAAAATTATGTTTGAACCTACCCCTTTAGATGATTAAAAAGACCTGAAGTTGTACTGGACTTAGCATCATGATCCTTGTTGCAATCATTATATGTTGCATGAGCAACATCAATACTTTCAAAGAAATCTCAAATGCAAGACTTTATGGGCATTATGAAGATGAACAAAATAGCAATAACTTTGAATATTTAGAATATTTTATATTTTATTTGAAATATTTTATATTTTAGATATTTTTAACAAATAATTTTTTATTCTAATAAAAATGAAATAAATGAAAGTCCACCTTTTTATAATATTTGACATGAAAGGTGACTTTTAACTCACGTGATATTTAAATAAAAATATCAATAACATTTTAATATTTGTAAAGTTTAAATGAATATATTCATTTGTTTATTTGTTCAACAAATATATATTTGTTAAACAAATATTCTTTGCTCATTGAATATATACAAATTTATTTGTGCACTACAAATGATTAAACAATTTTTTTTTTAACAAATATTCATACATCAATTTTGATAAACAAAACTTCTCTCCCTCTCACTCAGTGTATATACACTGAGTGAGGGGGAGAGGAGTTTTGTTTATCTAAATTGATGTATGAATATTTGTTAAAAAAAAAATTATATATACTTTTTTTTCAAGAAATTTAAATTATTATGTTTTGATAATAATTTGTAATATTTTTACTGAATATTTTTATAATTATAAAAAATAATTATAAAAAATTAACATATAATTATACAAAAAATAATTATAAAAAATTAAAATATAATTATACAAAAAATAACTTAAAACAATTAAAATATAATTATACAAAAAATAATTATAAAATATTAAAATATAATTATACAAAAAATAATTATAAAAAATTAAAATGTAATTATACAAAAAATAATTATAAAAAATTAAAATATAATTATACAAAAAATAATTATAAAAAATTAAAATATAATTATACAAAAAATAATTATAAAAAATTAAAATATAATTATACAAAAAATAATTATAAAAAATTAACATATAATTATACAAAAAATAATTATAAAAAATTAAAATATAATTATACAAAAAATAACTTAAAACAATTAAAATATAATTATACAAAAAATAATTACAAAATATTAAAATATAATTATACAAAAAATAATTATAAAAAATTAAAATGTAATTATACAAAAAATAATTATAAAAAATTAAAATATAATTATACAAAAAATAATTATAAAAAATTAAAATATAATTATACAAAAAATAATTATAAAAAATTAAAATATAATTATACAAAAAATTATACAAAATTATCGCTGTTTGAAAAACTTTTTGGAATCTGTTTTTTTAGTTTTACATCATAATATTACATAATAATCAATTAAATTTTTTTTTAGATTTTTTTAGTCAACAGGAATGTTTTTTGTTTTTTGATAAAAATAAAAACATTCTGCATGTTTTAATTTTCATTTTCCTTGCTGTTTACAAACATCAACTGACAAATAGGTAGAATATGTGAGAAGTCCTGCTACATTGACTGACAAATAGGTTGAACATGCGAGGTGTGCTGCTCAGTGATATATAGAACAATAAGAGCACACTAATTTTTTTGTTTATATTACATTAAACTTTATTGTGTGTTTAATGTGATTCCATTTACAAAATAACAAAAACATGATTTTATGCTATTTAGCACTGCATCAGACAGGTAGAAACAGTGGTGTTATTCATGCAGGAATATACTATCAGCCTGGAACACTTAAAGCAATTCTGTGTGTAAGAGGGCAAGAATTGCTTTACAAATATTGCGATGAATACAAGATTCCTTATAAAAAAGTTGGAAAGGTGAGTTTAATTAAGGTAGTTTTTTTCAAAAGTTTTATTAAAATAAAGGTTTTATTAATTTTCACTTATATATGCGTTTAATGTAGAAATTACGCTTTCTGGATCATTTCTAATAATCTTAGAACATGAAATCTTGCCACAATATAATAGTCCAAGCCTTGAAGCGATGCCTGAATGTAAATTTGAGAGCGTAATAATTAAAATGTGGCTTTGATGCAGCAAGGTAGAATCAAAGAATAAAAACTTTCATAAGCTTCCAAACTGTATAAGCACTAATATCTTTCACAGCCAAATGATACAGTTTTTAGTGTGGTAATTAATGGTCTGCCACTTTTTTTCTGGATTGATGTCATCTTTTAACTGATATTATAAACAGTTCATTTTTTATGAAAAATGGCAAGTCTGAACATGCCCAAATAAATTTATGCATACTATAAATAAATGCATTATTTTAATATAGGATAGTATAAAAAATTTAGTTTAAATATTTATATATTTTTTAACAAATTTATAGATTTATAATAATTTTTAACAATAGCTATATTATATTTTATTATAATACTATATATTTATTATTTACCAAGAACATGTCAATCAATGTTTTAGGTATTAAGTATGTTTCTTTTTTTATTTGTTACAGCTCATTGTTGCAACTTCTTTAGCCGAAGTGGAAAGACTGAAAGGCTTGTTCAATAGAGGAATTCAAAATGGTGTCACAGGATTGTCTATGATATCTAAAGATAATATTAAGCAAATAGAACCTCATTGTGAAGTACACATTTGTTACCGTATCTTAACTTTTATATTGATGACTTAAAAGTTAATTTATGTTAATTAGTTTATTCTGAAAGGGATTTATGGCACTTCATTCTCCCAACACTGGCATTGTTGACTATGGTCTTGTGACTAAAGCGTTTGCAAAAAGTTTCACATCAAGGCAAGGAACAATTGCATTTAACTTTCAGGTGTTTATTTACATTAAAAATTAATGAGAAATAAAGAGAATAGAAAAAATCAATTTATATAATAATATGTTAATTATATTTGTAATGGTATTTATAACTATATGAACTATTTATAAACAGCAATATCATATTATTATATCTCTTTAAAATATTGTGTTATTATATTTCTTTAAACAATTCAAATTAATAAATTTATTTTTTAAGAAAACAAAATAAAGAAGGGTAGTGGTATAAAGGTATATAATGGAAGAGAAAGCGAGTTAAGCAAGTTAGGGAGTGAAAAGTTAAAGACACTGGCACTAATGTGCCCACGTTAACCAAATATTGGAAGTAAAAAGATTTTCCAGTTAGTTGATGCTAATACAAGTTAATATAAAGTAACTTTTAGGGATTTTGAAAGTTTCTATAATAGCTATTACAATAATAGTTTATAGAGATTTTCTAATAAATAATCATAATAGATAAAATCAGGTCAGGCCAAAATCTGGATCATCATGATTACCATTACCTACTAACAAGGATCATCATGATTACCATTACTTACTAACAAGGTAATCCAGTTAAACCTGCTACATGTCCTGCCACATATGAGCCTTTGGTTATGAATTTTAGTTGATTAGCAGAATTAGGGCAACCGCATATCTAATTGCACAGTCATACACAATCTATGGTTCAGTCTAGTTATCTGTTAATTAAAAATATAAAGTACCTACACTACTACTAATAAAAAAACCATCAATTATCAAATTGTTTCAATCTATCAAAGTATTCATAGACTTTCAAGAAAATTTTTATCTTACTTTTAGCAAATGTTTTGTGAATCTTACATTTTGCAAAATTAACTCAACCTACATGCTCTTTGTAAGATATTTCAATTTGGTTGTTTCATTTTTGGATCTCAGTGTTCTGTATCCTTAGATTTAAATAAATCCAATAGTCATATTGGAGTCTTTAAATCAAATGATAACCACACTTATTAGCCTGGGCATATATCTGCCTATTAATTAACCTATTTTTTTGTAAAATTTTGTTTGAATCTTTTGACTATTATTTTAAGTGCTTTTGTATCATTTTCCTTCACTCAATTACCCTTCTTTTTATACTTTTTTGTTTCTTTGTATTATTTCTGTTCAAAATGACCGATCCTTATCTTTATATTTATCAGCCAATATTGTTGTTATTAGTGATTTTGATGGTTATCACATTGAATGGCTCAGCTCTAGTACCAATGACCCTGCTGGCACTTAAGCTCTTCACATTTGGGCATAACACTTAATCTCTTACTCAAATAGTAAAATTTGCGACTCGTTTTTGAGACAACCCTAATCACTTACCTTCACTTCTTAATTTGTCTCTTGTCTCCAACTCTAGCTTTTGCTTTGTTTCTTTTTGTTCTTCTTTAAGTGGTTTATACAAAGCTTTAATATCACTAAACCTTTTATCTTGTACTTATACTTTTTCAGATTTACCCTATTGTTACCTAGCACTTGCACTTCTTAATACCATAAGGTATAAAAAAGTGCAAAGGTAAGTTTGAGTAACTGGGATTTTTTTTTTTGATTTTTTAAATAGGAATAAGGTATTCTTTTTTAGAAAATTAAAAACTCTTTAATAACTAAGGTAATCTAAAGAAAAAGTCAAAACTATTCCATAATCCACTAGGATAAATTAGTATGATTTATAATTATAAAATTTAAATCATATAGTAAATTTTATATTTTATTTATAAGTAAAAATGTCAAAATACCTAAATAATACATAGCAATAATTACAGCCATTTAGATAAAAAAAAGATGAGATCTACAGCATACTTAAACTTTCTTAAACTTAAAAATTTTTAATATTGAAAAAGAACCAAAGCGTAACAAGCTTTTTAAACAAAATTTAAAAAGCATATAAAACATTTTTAATGCATTCTTTGGCAGGTTTTAAACTTGAAGATCATTTGAAACAAAATTTAAATATTTATACAACCTTAAAAAGACTTTGTTGCGTCCTATGAAATTAAATACACTAAGGTTAAATGTGTATAAATTATAATTTGGTTTATTTTTATTGTTTTCTTATTGGTTAAATTAGTCAAATTAAATTATATGCACTGCTTATATAATATTTAGTACAATATAACATATATAATATTTAACATAATATAACATATACATAACATAACATATAATATAACATATATGCTGCTGCTATATCCAATCGTAATCATTTTTTTCATCTTTTTCAAAAGAACAACTCTCTTGAGAACAAACGGCTATTTATTATTGCAAGAAATCGATGTAAAAAGGTGCTTTCTGATGCTAAACTCCATTATTCTCAGTTCACTAAATCTCGCATCTTATCGCAGAAGTTAGGCTCTAAAGACAGAAGTTAGGCTCTAAAGAAAATCTTCAACAGCATTATTAACAAGGGTAGATCTAACATTCCATCTCTCATTCATGGGACTGATCTTATTACCTCTCTCAAGGATAAGGCAGAACTATTTGCAAAGAACTTTTCTTCTAATTCCACTCTTGAATCTTATGGACATTCTCTTCCTTCCATTCTAGTCAAACAGGTTGACCCATTGTTAGACATTCAAATCACTCCGGCTTCTGTTGCTAAAGTCATATCTCAATTAAACTCGTCTACAGTTTGTGGTCCAGACAACATTCCTGTCACAGTCTTGCAGAATTGTTCTCCAGAACTTTCTTCAATTCTCTCTAAACTATTTAACAAGTGTTTGACTGAGTCTGCTTGTTGGAAAATGGCATCTGTGGTTCCAATATTCAAAAACTCTGGAGAAAATTCTGACCCCTCCAATTATCGTCCGATCAGTCTTCTTTCTGTTATTAGCAAGGTCTTTGAGTCTTTGATCAACAAATTCCTCACATCTCATCTTGAGTCAAATAAACTGTTGTCAGACAATCAATACGGTTTTCGATCCTCTCGCTCTACGGCCGACTTGCTAACTGCTGTAACTGAAAGATTTTATCGTGCATTAGATGGAGGCGGTGAGGCTAGGGCTATTGCTCTCGACATATCTAAAGCTTTCGACAAAGTTTGGCATGCTGACCTTCTCCATAAGCTTGCTTCATATGGTGTTTCTGGGAAAGTTTTTGAGATTATCAAACCATTTCTTTCTAACCGGTTTATTAAAGTCATCCTTGAAGGCCAACACTCTTCTTTATTTCCAGTAACTTCTGGGGTTCCCCAAGGTTCCATCCTGGGCCATGTTTTGTTTCTTATCTACATAAACGATCTTCCTGACAACCTTTCATCTAAAGTAGCTCTTTTTGCTGATGACTCAACTTTATACTCCTGTCTTGACAAAAAGTCCTCTCTTTTCGATCGCCTAGAACAAGCAGCTGATCTTGAATCCGATTTCACTTCAGTAATAGATTGGGGTTCACAGTGGCTTGTGAATTTCAACTCTAAAAAAATCCAGTTGCTTACTGCAAACAACTACCGTAATATGGTCAACATTCCTATATTAATGAATGGCAATCCTCTTTCTGAGTCCTCCTCTTTACGTCTTCTTAGATTATCTCTTACTACTGATCTTTCATGGAAACCATATATACAATCGATTGCTAAATTAGCTTCTGCTAAGGTTGCTTCTCTTTATCGTGCTCGCCATTTCCTTACTTCTGATTCCATTCTCTACCTCTACAGATCTCTTATTCGTCCCTGTATGGAATATAGTTGTCATATTTGGGCTGGTTCTTCTAACGATTCACTTTCTCTTCTTGACAAGGTCCAAAAACGCATTGTAAATGTTGTTAGACCTGAACTATCTGCTAAGCTTGAACCTCTTTCCCATCGTCGTAAAGTTGCATCTCTTTCTCTTTTCTACAAATACTATCATGGTCACTGCTCAAAGGAGTTATCATCTCTAGTTCCATCAACTAAAATTCATTCTCGTTTTACTCGTCATTCAGCTAAGTCTCATTCGTTTACTGTATCTGTCCCTGCATGTTCTAAAAACTTTTATTCATCTAGTTTTTTTCCCCGCACTTCAATCCTTTGGAACTCTCTCCCATTATCATGTTTTCCTGACTCATACAACCTTCAACTTTTCAAGTCTTCTGTCAATCGTTTCCTTGCTCTATAACTCTGTTCTTTTTTTTCCTAGAAACTCTCAACTTGATAGTGGTTGCTTGCAGCCTTGTTGGGAGTGAATGCAAATATATATATATATATATATATATATATATATATATATATATATATATATATATATATATATATATATATATATATATATATATATATATATACATATATATATATATATATATATTTATATATATTTATATATATATATATATATATATGTGTGTGTGTATGTATATATATATATATATATATATATATATATATATATATATATATATATATATATATATATATATATATATATATATATGTATATATATATATATATATATATATATATATATATATTTATATTTATATATAAAATAAATGTAACATATCTGCTAGTTTTTTTTTTTTAAAACTGTTGAGTAAATTGTGTGTGTATTTTAAATATACTTCTGAAATTAAAATAAATTGCATTTTTTAGGTGGAAAATATTATCCATTCAATTGAAGGTATATCTACATTAAGTATATTTGTTACTTTAAAGTTTATTATCAAGTTTCAGTGTTTGATTTATCAACATAATCTATTTACATATTTAGTCGTTTAAAAATGATTTAATGTGGTAACCATATATATGTAACCATATATGTAAATCATTTGAGAAAGATTTCATTTGTATTTAAGTAGCTATTCTCGTGTCTCAAGTAGTCAAGTAGATGATGGATTTGTAAAAGTAGATGATGGATTTGTAAAAGGGTCCAAAAAGAGGTTGGATCCTCTTTTTTTAAATTAAATAAATAGATAATTGTTTACAGTTACTACCCAGCCAGCACAAACACATCTTTTTAGAATCTAAAATGTTAACACCTTTTACCTGTCTGAATTCAGATAACTATAAAACATCTAATAGTATCCGTCTTTGAGACGACAAATATAAACTCATATTTGCTGTCCCAAAGATGACAACTATTAGGTGTTTTATAGTTACCTGAATTAAGACATCTAAAAGGTTTTAACATTTTAGATACTAAAAAAGATGTCTAAAATACGTGTTTGTGCTGGCTGGGTATAGTAATGCAAAACTGTTTAAGTTGTATCTGTAGTTCCATATTTAATGTTTAGTTTTTTTTTTTTTCCTTAGTAGTGTTTTTAATTTTATTCTAAAAGTGACATTTTTAACATTTTTGATGTACCCTTCTTTGATACCTGTGGTTTAAGATAATTATCAGAATCTTTGACACCTATAGTTACGCTGATTATCAAAATCTTTGACACCTGTGGTTTAAGATGATTATCAAAATCTTTGACACTTGTGTTTTAAGTGATTATTAAAATCTTTGACACCTGTGTATAAATATGATTATTAAAATCTTTGACACCTGTGGATTAAGATGGTTACCATAATCTTTGACACCTATAGTATAAGATGATTATCAAAATCTTTGACGCCTGTGGTTTAAGATAATTATCAAAATCTTTTGTATGGAAATAAATCTTTTTAATATAAAGTTTTATATCTATTTAATATAAAATTAGATATTATCAAATTTTATTTTAAAAAATATAAAATTTTATATTAAAAAGATTTATTTCCAAAAAAAAAAATCATAGTGATATATTGTTATAACTATGATAGATAAATTATAAATAACTTATTATCTATTATAGTTATAACAATATATCACTATGATTTTTTTTTTTGATTAGTTGAAGTTTAAACAGTTTTATTTAATTAATTTTTTATTTGTTGATTCCAGACATAAGTTTAGACATAAGACAATATTCCATTAGTTGAACATTGGACAGTTTAGTTTAAACAATTTTTTTTTCCTTTTTGTGATTGGTTAAAATTTGAACATTTTTAAATTAATTTTTCTCATATGTTACTTAATTGATTCTTACAAGTTTTTTTTAAATAATGCATTAATTAATTAGTTTTTTATGTGCAGGTATCATTTCGTTTGCATCTGTTTAGTTTTTGCAATTTTTTAAGAGTCAAAAAATAGAGAAAAAATTTTTAAGTAAAAATTAAGATTTAAAAAAATTTTATAGTCAAAAAAAAGTATTTAATAATTTTCCAAAAGTAATAAAATCCTAAAATCAATCCTTGGATTTGTTACAAAATGTTATAAAGTTAACAAAACTGTAAACAGAAAACCAGGGAAATAGTGAAAATCAGTGTGTATTGATAAAATAAAGGCAAAATCTGAAGTTGAGTATAAGACAATTCATCAAAATCCAACTCAGTCACTCACTCAATTCAGCTGCTATGTTTAAATGTAGCAGATCTTGTATTTAAAGAGTATAGAAAATAAAATATATGAAAGCATATTACAAGAATAACAAAAAATGTCCAAAAAAAAATTGCTCAAGTGATAAAATGTTTTTTTGAGTTTTCAAAGACAGTGAGACCTACTGAAAAAAGTCACTCAATCCCTACAGGCAATCAATACTATTATTAGTAGAAGCTAAAGTGAGTTAAAAAATTTTCTCTCAAGTTGCCTGCTTTTAGGTTATTTGTAGCTGTGGTTTTAAAAGTTCTCGTTTTATAACAAATCAAAGAGTCAAGTATGTAGATATTGTTGAAAAATACAAAGTTTTATGGATTCATGTTTCCAAAAAGAAGAGATGGTGGATACTATACAAAAAATTAAATTATTAAATGTTTTAATATTGACAATAATTTTTTTTTTTCTTTAAATTAAAATATTAAAAGATTCATTAATTATTTAAGAAAAAGTTGTTAAAACAAAAAGAAATAATAGTAAAAAAATACTAATAATAAAAAATCAAGTAATGTTTATTTTGGTTTAGATTCTATGTATCCTGTTAAAGTGATTGGAAAAAATCAGGTTTTTTTTAATTAGTAATAATTTGCTTTTTATATTTTTGTTGTAAAAAATAAGTTGATAAAAGAAGCAAATAAAACTAAAAAATATTGGTGTATTGATTTTAAAAGAAGTATTAAGTTTTTTAAAAGGAGTATTAAGTTTATGAGATTCTAGGTGTAACTTTAATTTCAAAATAATGCCAATATTTTCAAAGTTTTTTTAAAATGCAGTCAAACAAATAATTTACAAACGCCTTAACAATTTAGAAAAGTATTCAGGGAGCAATTATTTGATAATTGCATAAGCATGAAACTTATAGTTGTAAAAAATATGTAGTTTTGATTTATAAAAAATAAGTACAGCTCTGTTTTAATTTATTTTAATTCATTAAGTACTCTCATAAAGATATATGAAAGCTTATGCATGCATATTATTAGACTCATCAGGAAATATATATATATATGTATATATATATATATATATATATGTATATATATATATATATATATATATATATATATATATATATATATATATATATATATATATATATATATATATATATATATATATTTATCTACTAAGCATCTGCGTCTCAAAATGGTACAAGGCAAAACGAGGCGAAACGATAAAAAATATTGTTTCGGTAAAACTGGTACGAAACAAAACAATTTTGCAAAAAATGGTACAAAACAAAACAAAATTTTTTTGTTTCGTCAAAAATATGGTAAAAAAAACAGTACAAAACGAAACAAGGTTAAACTAAATAAAGTGCGAACTGGTACAAAATGAAATAAGCTTAAACTTATTAGTTAAACTTTTGTTTACGTAACATTAAGTTAGTAAGTATTAAAGTTCATGTAGTGTTTGGGGGTGTTGGAATCATAAAATATCTGTTTGGAGCGGGGGAAATATGAAATGCTCCATAAAAACCAATACAAAGCGAAACAAAATTTTCTTGTTTCGTAAAAATACAATACAAAAGGGAACAAGCTTTACTTGTTTTGTAAAAATACGATACAAAACAATATAATATATTTTTGTTTTGTAAAAATGGCATGAAACGAAAATTATCGTTTCCTACCGTGTCAAACGAAACTTCCGAGAGAATGCAAGTAAATGTAGATGCCTAAAATGTACAGCCATTGGAATTAAGGTCAGCACCTAACTGCTGACCTTAAGTTGTTTGAGGTAGGCAAAAATTAATAACTTCGTTTCTCTGTTTTATGGTAACCCCTATGTGTCAAATTTTTTTTGGTGACCTGATGCCGATCTCTAACAGTTTAAAGTCTTAAATTCATTTTTGACTTCGTATTTCCTAATTTTGAGGGGGATATATATATATATATATATATATATATATATATATATATATATATATATATATATATATATACATATGTATATATATATATATATATATATTTATGTATATGTATATGTATATATATATATATATATATATATACATATATATATACATATATATTTATGTATGTATGTATATATATATATATATATATTTGTGTGTATATATATATATATATATATATATATATATATATATATATATATATATATATATATATATATACATACATATACATATACATATACATATAAGTATATATAAATTTACCTTTAAAAAACCTGTACCCATCCATCTTTGCACAATGTTAAGCCCCAGTAATGCAAATTCTTGTTATGTAAGTTATTGTTGACTTCTGCATGATAGTGATTGCCCCATTATGACCTGTATTACTTGCAGTTGTGTAAAAGCAAAGTCCTGTAATATGCTCCTCACATATCGCAGGCCACTAATGAAGGAACTTAACTACCTTCTCTACTACCAAAATACCAGTACCAGCAAGTATCTAAGGAATCCCCAATAGTTTCTCAATATCCAAACCAGAAACAACAATTGTCAAACATTGAAGCCTGGTTCCATCAACATATAGCAGTATTTTGCCATCAAAATGAGCATCTAATAAAAACCAAGAGTTAGAAATTGCTATAACAATTGTACATAATTGAGATGTTGTTTGAGCATCCATTAAAGAGGTACACTTTATTTTACCAGCATATAATAAGTCTGAAACAACAATTTTCTAAAGTAATATTTTTATATTTTTTTACTATAAATAAATATAAATTTAATAAACATAAAATGCTCAAAACCCAAAAATAAAAAATAAATCTACTAAAATATCTCAAATAAATCTACTAAAATAATTTTAGTAGATTACTTTGAGAGTAATCTGCTTCTAAAAAATAATCTAAATATTTTTAGTAGATTACTCTGGTAGTAACCTAAATATTTTTAGTAGATTACTCAGGTAGTAAACTAAATATTTTTCGTAGTAGATTACTCTGAGAGTAATTTACTACCAAAAAATAAACAAAATATTTTTAGTAGATTACTCTGACAGTAATCTGCTTCTAAAAAATAAACTAAATATTTTTAGTAGATTACTGTGGTAGTAACCTAAATATTTTTTGTAGATTACTCAGGTAGTAAACTAATTATTTTTCGTAGTAGATTACTCTGAGAGTAATCTGTTACTAGTAAATAACAAACTTTAAAACTTTAAAAATTAAAACATTAAAGTAAATAGTTAAGTAAATGGTTTTACTAACCATTTACTTTAAAGTAAAAACTTTAAAGTAAATGGTTAAGTTTTTATTTTATCTTATTATTATAAAATGTAATAAATTTATTTATTTTACTTTTATATACTTTTTTTTTTAAATCAGGTAAAAATTTTGATGTTTTGCAATAGCTTATTTTGTTTATTCCTCCCTCAAATATCAATTTATAAGTGATTTTTTTAGGTGTTTTAAGTTAACATAAATAAAATATTGCTTTAAAATAAAGTATTAAAAATGTTTTTAATGATAAAAAAAAAGAAACGATTTTGAAATATTATAAACTGGTTATACTTTAGAAATATCTGAACATTCAAAGTATTGTATCTTAAGAACCATAAAAGCTGGTTTATGTTGGGCATTGATCCGCTTTAAGTTGAGCCAAGTGTTTTTTTTTTCTTCATGATAAACTGCTAAGTGTGAAAAAATGCATAAAATAGGTCATCATAAGATTGAAGTGTTTTAATTTTTCAAGAATGATTAGTTTTTTTATTAACTTATAATCATAGTTATATTATAAAGCCTAAATTTTGGGTGTTTTAAGTTTTTCTAACTTTATTATATACTATAGTTTTGTTACATTATTGTAATGAAATAAATTTCTGTTTTAGCAGGTTTTCACTTCATTGTACTCAAAGGATTTTTTGAAATCTGTTTTACTTTTTTATATTTTAGCCTTCAGTTTTGTGTCGCTATGTAATTACTTGTGGCGGATTATATTCCGATCGATTAGCTAGAATGACAGCATGCAGCAAAGAACCTGGAATTGTTCCTTTTAGAGGAGATTATTTGTTGCTGAAACAAAATAAAAGACATTTAGTAAATGGAAATATTTATCCAGTAAGTTTCAATACAGTGTGTATAGTGCCAGCAATAAATAACCTATAAGATGCGTCTTGTTAAGATGTAATGGGTCACGATAAGATTATGTGAGAAAGTTCTTAATTAGTTTAAATTATTGTATTTAAAAATTATTATTTAAAATGTATGAATCAACTAAATGAATTCTTGTGAAAGTAGAAAAAAGTAAAAGATTAAGATGTTGGAAATTTTTTTGAAAAATTTCTTTCTTATTTTTTTTCAATTTTGTGCTTAATAAATTTAAGATTTTAAATAGAATAAATTAGCATAAATTATTCAGACTTACGAACTGAAGATGGCAATTGGCAATGCTGACCTGTCAACTTAAAAGTGTCTAAGATTAGCAATTTTTTGCTGGCCTTGTTTCTATGTTATTATGGTAAAACCTTTTGGATAAAAATTTTGTGACAACCTGATGCCAACCAAAAAATGTTTATGGTCAACAAATTGTTGCCAACCTTTTATTCTAATTCTGAGAGTTGAATAATAATAAAAACTGGCTCAATAAAAATAAGTTGAGTTGAGTCTTTTTCTCTGATACCTAATAAATGTTTTTATTATTCAACCTAATAAATGTTTTTAAATTTATAGGTTCCAGACCCTCGATTTCCATTTCTTGGAGTTCATTTTACACCAAGAATGGATGGAAATATTTGGTTAGGACCAAATGCTATTCTGGCATTTAGTCGCCAAGGATACAATCTCACAGATTTTAGTATGAAAGACTCATTTGAGACTTTTACAAATAGGTTTGTTTTTGTTGTTATTGTTGTTGTTGTTTTTTACTTTTCAGTAAAAATTTTGAATATAGATTGCTAATTATTTATTAGTAATGTCATTAGGAAAAGATTGCCATTTTAGAATTGCATTACATTTTTTTGGTGCCAAATGTTAAAGAAAGAATATATAAACATATATATTAAATATATATATATATTTAAGATTATCGTGATTTTATCTTTCCTCTCAAAGAATATCAATAAATAGTTACTAAAAATTTTTTTTACCAAAAATTGCAATATTCTCAACAAACCCAATTGTCTCATCTTAGGGAGCAAGTCTCTTATAATGAGAAGATCATCTTGTTGAACTAGCCTCCTAAGTTAAGTTTTTTTTAATGCAATTTGTGCCACATTTTATTTGAAAAATACTATTTTAACAAATGAAAAACAAATATATAAATAAATGAAAAAAAAAAAAAAAAACTTAAAGGAATCGAAGCAACAAAACAAAAATTAATATGTTACAGATTTATACAATAAGCAATAAAATAAAAGACAAACGAGTGACAGACTAAGTAACTTTTTAGAGCAATTTAGAGTTGATTGATTAACAATTAAAACAAATACTAGCTCCACAGTTCATAGATCTATCAGAATAATTTAGACAGCAACCAATTTTCTTGATCCAAATATATTTAAGGTTAATATTTTTGTTTTAAATTTTTCAAATATGAAAATTCAAAAGCTTTGGCAAATAATAAATTTATTGCCAGTAATATTTTAGTTGGAACTTTATTACATTTGATAAAACCTATTTTTTTAGTAAATTTTGACATAATGCATATTGTAGTGATAAAGTAGTAACGATAAAGTAGAAGGAAATGCAAGTACAATATTTGTTTTGTTTAATTATTTGTGCAATGAAGATCAAAGAAAAGCATTATTTTTATAATATTCCCATTTTTGGCTCATACTTGTCATAACTGTTACACTAACAGTAGTTTATTTAAGGGTTTAGATGACATTTAACTGTGTAATCAAGAAGCTTACTGTTAAAATGAACAATGAGGCGCCTTCTCTTAAGATGATTCATGACTTCATTCTACTCAAAGTTTCCTTCTTGCTCAATGTTCTTGAATCTTTTTTCATGGACCAATGAAAATCTTTTTTCATGGACCAATGAAAATCTTTTTTCATGGACCAATGATCTTGACCAATGATCTTGAGTGTAACATTTTCAAGATTCACACGGCCTTTAAAAGCAGAACTAAGTATTAACAGATTTGGCTGAATACTAATATTAAACCATGTAAAAGGGATGGAAGTACATTCAATTATTTTTTCATCACTTACTGTTAGGTTGATATTTTCTGCATACTTGTATCTAAAATAATATGATTTGTTTTTGACTTTTTTACTTTTATCTTTGCTTGTCTTTTAACTACTAAGACTTGTCTTTTAACTACTATTCTCTCAGACATTACTATTCTCATTATTCCTTCATTATTAAATTATATGGTTTTTAAAACATCTTTACATGGAAGTTTTTAATTGAAATTTTTGAACATGATGATCCTGATCTCCATATCACTCAGATTCAGAAGAGTGACTTTCTTTTTGTTCTTCAATATCATTATTTTCACCTGAAGTCAGAAGGTGTTTATTATCAATTGCTTATTTTTGGCCAAGTTAAATAAGAAAAAAAAAAAAAAAAAATTTAAAAGGAAAATAAAACAGAAATTTCATTAAAAGACCTATGAATTATTGTTTTTATCAAGTGCAACATACTTCTGCCTAATATTTACTAGGGGTGCACCGATGCCTACTTTTGGCTGATGCAGATGTCGGTGCCGATGGGTATAGGCCGATGCTGATGCATCGGCCTATACCCATTGGTATAGGCCGATGATAATAATAATCGATATATAATGGAAATATACACCTGAATGGAAATGCCATATTACATTCATGTGACGATGAAAGCAATAATTTTACAGTTATTATAGATCAAAAACATCAATCTAAGCTTAAGGAGACTATTAATAAGCATAGGAAATGGACTTCAAGTGAACAAGGAGCTCAAAAAATAACTATGCTCATCGGAGAAATGATATGTGTAGACATTCAGCCGTATTCTTTAGTTAAAGATCAAGGATTTAAAAAACTTGATCTGTAACTAAAAAAACTTGATCTGTAACTAAGCATCTTGAACCAAGGTATACCATGCCCTCTAAAAAACATATGACTGAAACAGTTGTTCCTTTAATTTATGAAAAAATGAAAATACAAATTATGAATGATGTAGCAAAAGCAGATTTTTTTAGTTTTCCACTGATGGATGGGCTACACATCACAATGATCTAACCTTTTATTCATTAACAGTACATTGGATAAACTCAGAGTTTAATGACAGCTGTGCTACAACTTAAAAAAATAACAGGCTCTCTTACAGGTGCATAGATATCAAAATTTCTAAAAGACTCTTTAAATGAATAGAAAAAACCAACTAACAAAGTGTACTTTGTCCTCTCTGACAAGGCTGCTAGTATGAAAATAGCCATAAAAAATTCTCTAAGTTGTGTAATCCACGCTCTTCAGCTTTGTATAACGGATAAGCTTTTCAAACAGCAAACTTGTAAATGATCTTAAAGCTAAGTCTATAAAAATTGTCACACACTTTCATCATTCTTTGTCTTCCATGGGTATGCCACATGAAATTCAAAAACAGCTAAAGTTACCCCAACATTCACTTATACAAGATTTAGTAACAAGATGGAACTCAACATTTTACATGCTAGAACGACTACTTGAATAAAAAACCTCACTAACATTACTTTTTATTAGAAATCAAAAGTGTAATGACTCTAATCTTAATGAAGACTAATGGTTATTAGCTGAGACGCTTATCTTAGTTTTAAAGCATTTTGAGGCGGCTACCCTAGAGATGAGTGAAAATAGGGCATCAGTGTCTCAAATTATTCCATTTATAGTTTCAATGGAAGCGTATCTAGCCTATGCTTCAGAAAATGCAGATGAAATAAAAACTGTAATAGAAGAGTTGAAAAAAGATTTTATTTGAAGATTTTCCTGCTATAAATATAACAAAAACTTAAACATGTCTACAGTTTTAGATCCAAGATTCAAACTTAGTTATGCCATATCAGATGAGAAGAAAGACACAATAAAATGAAATATACAAGAGAAATATATGAACCTAAATAAAACTGATATTACAGATTGCCTTTTAACTACCGACAACTTAACTCAATCAGATAATGAAACAAACACTTCATCTGAATTAACCCAAGAACCTAGCTCTTCACTCAAAAAATTAAAAATGGCAGAAAACATATACAATTTTTATCAAGTTTTAAAAGCACCTCTTGACACTGAACACAGTCAACAAAAGTAAAGAGCTGTAAAAAACTTTCAACAAATTTATTTAGAGAAAAAGGAAAAAATGTAAGTTAAAATGATTTTTTTAAATAAGAACTTTGATAACTTTTTGTTCTTGTCTAATTTATAATAAATTATTATAGATAAAACTAAATTCTAAATTATTATAAACCATTATATAAATTGTAGTTATAGAAACAAAATGATATTACTAATATTCATTAATATTTAAAAACTTTTAATAATAAAAATTAGTAATTTACATTATAGTTTAGTTTTTATATTTTTTATTTATCTACTTTTCTTTTAGAACTGATGAAATAAACTTTTACTTATCACTACCTAATCTGCATCAAAAAGAACGTCCATATAAATGGTGGGGAAATTACAAAAATACATGTATAAAGAAACACTCTAGTAGCAATAATATTTTAGACCTCTCATACCTTGCCAAAAAATATTTACGAGCTCTGCCTTCTTCTGTGTTCAGCGAAAGAATGTTTAGTACTGGGGGAAATATTTATGAATCGACACGGTCCCGACTAACTGCAGAACATGGAGAAAATCTAGCTTTTGTGCATACGAATTGGAAATTTTCTGGAGAAACGGAAATAAAAAAATAGATTCACAGTTTTATATAACATATTTTAATACTTTTCATAACATAATAAAAATTTATATTTATTTTTAACATGACACAAGTTGGTCTATTATGTTTTAAATATGTTATACTTTATGTTTATATTTTTTAAATGTGCATTTCTTGATTTTTTTGTAGAGTTTTGGACCCATAAGTTATATAATTAATGTACTAAATTATAAGAAAACTTTAAAAAAGTAAAGAGCCCTGTTAAAAGCACTCAATAATTTTTAGTTTAGTGGTTGCATATATGCCTATATAATAACTTATTATTAATAAGTTAGACTTATACATTGTATTTATGTACTTATACATTGTATTTAGATAGTTGGTAGATAGTTAAAATGGTTATTAGTTTTCTGTATAATTTTTTCAATTAAGAAACTTAAAATTAAAGAAGTTAATTATGTGTTCTTAATAGAGGATTTTGGAAACTTATGAAAAAGCATTGGAAATTTGCAAGTCAAGAACTTTATGAGGGATTTTTTATCAAAAAAACAGTGCAAAAGTTACAAAACTTCATTCCTGAGTTGACAACAGATGACGTTGAAAGGTATTCGATACACTTTTTTTTTTTTATATATATTCAAGACTCTTTTTTATTTTTAATTTTTTATTCTTATATTTTTAGGGGTCCATCTGGAGTTCGTGCACAGGCTTTAGCTGTAGATGGTAATTTAGTTGATGATTTTGTATTTGATTTTGGAAAAAGTGAATTAGGTCAACGCTGTTTGCATGTTAGAAATGCTCCTTCTCCTGCTGCAACATCATCGTTAGCAATAGCTGAAGTAATTGCTGATAAATTTGAACAAATATATAATGAATAATTTTTTTGACATTTTTATTTTGTTACTTTTACTCTTTTATTACTTTATTTAAGATTAAAATTTTGTATTGAGGTTGTTTATTAGAAATATAATTAACTTGTCTTTATTCAAAAAAAAAAATTCTTAATGAATTTGTTAAAAGTGTTATGCAATTTATTATTGTTGTTTGATTTAATGTTTAGGTAGATTTTCTTTTCTTTTGAATTAAAAAAAAAATTAACTTATTTAAATATTATAAAAATTATAAATCAATTATTTTATGTAAATATAATTATGATTCATAGTTTGTATATTATTTTTATATATTTAGATTACTCTACTGTGCAGAGTGAAGAAAGAAAAAAAAAACTTTAACTTATTTTTTGTTTGCTAACTTGTTTTGCTAGACATATACTTAGTTGTATAACACCTATCTGGTTATGTAGTACATACCTAGACTGTATCTATCTAGTAATGTAGCACACACTTAGTTATATAGCACATATCTAGTTATAAAACACATCACATGACATCATTAATCAAACATTAGAGGTTGCATGCTGCTACTCTTCTTGTACATGTTTAGCTTCCATTTATAAAGTATTAGCACAAGCTGAGAGAAATCATAAGTTTGATTGGGAGCGCTAAGGAAATAAGCGAAGAAACTCACTTGTTTCATGTTAGTTGCCATAAAACATTGCTTGTCATAAAGCTCCTTGCATATCATAATGCACATCAGTATTCACAAAGCTAGATCATCACTATTCATAAAAACTAGTGTGATAAAATTTAAAATACAATAACAAAGCAGCCTTGTTGGAAGTGGAAATGTCTAAAAAGCAGTTTTGTTTAAAAAAAAAAGTATATATATATATATATATATATATATATATATATATATATATCACTAGAATAAAGAACATCTCTAAACAGCTTCCTAATGTGTTTTAATGTAGGCAACCTCTAACTATGCTGTATTTTGCTGACAGTTATTAACTAATGCGGTAGTGGTGTAGTGTTAGAAGAGCACTTGCCTCATAAGCGAGAAGTTCCTAGTTCGATCCCCACCATATCCCTGGTAGTACCACGCTCAACTTGTTTCTCTGCTCAGCAGCCTTGTTCATCAAGGTGTTTTGGAGTTATAGAGTTGAGAGAGGGTTGTAACTGCAACTAAAGTAGCCCTTAACTGTTAGTAGACCTTCAGGGCTATGGGGAGGTGAATTGATAATTGAAAAAAAAAAAAGTTGACAATACTTTATTAGAATAAATAACTGTTAAGTTACTAACCATATTAATAAATGTTATTGATTAGTTATTATTAATTAGTATTTCATTCTAAGAGTTGTTATTCTTCTTTTTTATTTTACAGTTAAATATTCAATTATGTCAGACTGGAGTGGTTTTACAGAAGAAGAATTACAAAGACTGAAGCTGGAAAATGATCCGAATCTTCCACAAGATATAAATAAGAAAAAAAATATTACCACTAAGAATTCCAATGCATTGCGTGAAGCTAAAAAAAGATCTATACCTCAGTGGCCAAAGCAGATAGATAATCCTGTCAGTTCAATTGATTTTAGCCATGCTGATTCTAAACCTGTTGAAGACATTAAGTTAATACAGTCTGTTGAGGTAAAAGAAAGTCCTACTTTACATGAATATGATATAAAAGCAAATAAAGTAAAGAGCTTCATTAAAGGGAATCAAAATGAAGCAGTTCAAAATGAATCTAATGCAAAGGTGATTGCTGAGGAGACAATAATTAAAGAAAATGATGATGTTGGTGTTTTAACACAGGAGCAAGCGCTTGAGTTAGAGAGAAAAAAAATTGAACAATTACAAATACAACATAAGTTAATTGAAGATCAAAATAAAAAGAAAAAAATGCTCATTGCTAGCACACTTCAGGAAAGGATGAAGCAGACAATGAGCGAGTCTCAGAAGTTAAAAGAAGTGCAGCAACAATTAATTCATTTAGATGAAAAACTGCAAATTGACGTTGAATCTTTACGCAATAAAATCGAAGAAGCAAGCTTGTTATTTTCGCAAGCAGAAAAGCGATATGAGCGCTCTGAATCTGAGTATGTTTCAGCAAAATGTGATTATTATAAAAAAAAAGAGGAAAAGGAACAATTAATTGAACAACTTTATGCTATCATTCAAGCTAATGAAGAGCGCAAAGCCAAAAAACTTGAAGAGCTTATGGTAAAGCTAGTGTCTAACACAAACCTAGAAAGTCCTACATGTACTCTTCCAAAAACTAGCATTTCAAATGAATCTAATACAAATGTGATTACCTAATGATATTGCATTATTTTATTATTATTATTATTTATCTTTTTAAGTTTTATTTTTGTGTTTTTAGGATCAAACTTTTCATAAAAGATTACTAATATGTTATAATTAATTTGATATCATTAAATTTAGTTGTATTATTAACTTTATTATGAGGGATTATATTATGTAATACTTAATTGTAATAGTTAAGTATTTAAGGATTGTTAGAAAAATTAAGTAAAATAATTGCTAAGGCAATAATTATTTAATATTTATATTTTTATACAGTATTGATTTAAAATTTAAATGTAGAAATTTTTTTCATTTTATTATTTTTTATAACTTTATAGTTTCTAACATTATTTACATGGCTGTTTAGACGTTTATATACTTTTGGGTAAAGTGAGTATTTATAAAACTTTAAAAAATGTAAATAATACCAAGTGTAAAATGAAAATAATTATTAATATTAATTGAAGTGTATCATTATTGAATGTTCAAATTTTAATTTAAATTGAGTTAATACATTAATTTTATTAATTTACTAATAAAAGTTTCAAAAATTGATATTAAATAATAAAATCATTTTTTTTGTCATATTTTTATTATTTCTCATTTTTTTACTTTTGAATTAATGGCTCATGATGGTTACCTCAACTCAGTTTAGGGTCAGGATCAATATAATCACAGTAATATCGATCTTTAGTAACAATATTATTCTGATAGTAAAGGATATAGATGGTATCTCCAAGAAATACTCATATAGGGCAGATTTTATATGGCTACTGTCTTGTAGAAGATTGCTTGGAGAAATACTTGAAGGGTAAACATAAAACAGAAACTTTTGACCAGTCTTTCGTTTCTTCACGTGATAGATGGGCATAGATCATTTCACGTGATAGATGGGCATAGATGATTCACGTGATAGATGGGCATAGATGATTCACGTGATAGATGGGCATAGATCATTTAAACTTGTGTTAAATTGTTTTCTGCCTAAGACAATGATCGCTGGGTTTTCTTGACACTAATAATTTTAGTTTCTTTGGTGTTATTTATATTCATAACATTCTTAATGAGGGTAATGAGTACATTATCTTATAATGAGAGTACAACTTTAAAATCCAGAGCAATGGCTCTAAGGCTGACTTGTTTTATGTGACGGGTAGTATGGCTTTTAAACTTTGTAGTAGTTCTCATAGAAGTTGTTGATATCATCAATGACTTTAAAATATATTATTACCAGTGTTATGTTGCGCATTGGAAAATGTTCCTGTAAATATTTTGGTGTGCAAATATTTTGAGACAACTGCATAACTTGTTGCATAAGTTTATAATCTATGATTGAGTTTCTTTGATTATTTCACTTAGAATCTTACCTCTAAGGTGACTATTTGCTAATGACATAACTAAATGCTCTAGTCTTAACAAAAAATCCTCACTTTTTGATTTGAATGTGATCTCTCTTCTGTGACTGGGCTTTAGCTTGCAATAGCTGTCATTGGGCTTGCAGTAGTTGATGAATTTAAGAAAAAAAAAGCATAAAAACTTTTTTATTGTGTTTAATTATTATTTGTTTATTTTTTATTTATTTATTAGTTTGTTATCTTACTGCAGACCACTCAAGGAAACCTATTATCTTACTGCAGACCACTCAAGGAAACCTGTTATCTTACTGCAGACCACTCAAGGAAACCATTCCAATCCATTGCAAAGTTCTTCTAAGATTGCTTCTCTTTATTGTGCTTGCCAAATTTTTATTAATTTCATTCTCTACCTCTATAGCTGTCTCTACCTCTATAACAATCTTTACCTCAACAACCATCCCTACTTCTATAACCATCTTTTATTTGTTTTATAACTGTTTCATATTTGAGCTAGTTTTTTGTAAAAATATAGTTAACAAAGTTGCATCCTTTTATTTTAATTATTTCTTTATGTTCAAAAGCTTTCTTTTTTTTTTCCTGAAACATTATTTTAGAATTCTCTCATCTTTTAATGTTTTGACTGACTTACAATTTACAGTTTTAAAAGTCTTCTGTCAACCTTTTTTTTTTTTTTTTTTGATTCCTGTTAACTTTAAATTTAAAAAGTGGCTGTTGCTGGGAGTTTCCTTAGTAAAAAATAAAATAAAAAACATTTATTATACTGAACCTAATTGTTAAATTGTTTACCCCCATTGTATGCTATTTTACAACTATAATAACTTTTGTATTAAGAATAGTGTGTAAATTTTCAAGCAAACATTATATAATAATATTAGGCAAGATTTTTTTTTGTTTTAACTTTTATTAAAATGAGGGATGTTGTTTTACAATAAATTTTTTTATACTACTTTACTATTTTTGCTTATTTTTTCATTAGTTTATTAGCTTCTTCAAAATCATTTGTTTATTAGTTTATTTGCTTCTTCTAAATCATTTGTTCATTAGTTTATTAGTTTCTTCAAAATCATTTGTTCATTAGTTTATTCGCTTCTTCAAAATCATTTGTTCATTAGTTTATTTGCTTCTTCTAAATCATTTGTTCATTAGTTTATTAGTTTCTTCAAAATCATTTGTTCATTAGTTTATTTGCTTCTTCAAAATCATTTGTTCATTAGTTTATTTGCTTCTTCAAAATCATTTATTCATTAGTTTATTCGCTTCTTCAAAATCATTTGTTCATTAGTTTATTTGCTTCTTCAAAATCATTTGTTCATTAGTTAATTAGTTTCTTCAAAATCATTTGTTCATTAGTTTATTTGCTTCTTCAAAATCATTAATCAATCTCAATCAAGGTGGTAGTTTAAATAGCAGTTTACATTTGAAGTAGAGTTGTTTTTATTTATATTTCCTTATTTATTTTTTTATATAGTTTATATAAAAGTTATATATATTTTTATAGTTATATTTCCTTTATTACTGTGATGATGATGACTGTGATGATGATGACTGTGATGATGATGACTGTGATGATGATGGCTGTGATGATGATGATGACTGTAATGATGATAATTGTGATGATGATAACTGTGATGATGATGACTGTGATGATGATGACTGTGATGATGGTGACTGTGATGATGATGGCTGTGATGATGATAATTGTAATGATGGTGACTGCAATGATGATGACTGTGATGATGATGACTATGACAATTGTCTTGATCATGATTATCTTGATAGTTATTATGATGATGATTATGTAATACGGTAATAAATATATTTCCAGTTTAAAAAAGACAACATATGTTTTATGATGGCTGTTTGTTCAGCTGACAATAAATTTGCAATATCATGGCACGATAGTGCCTGGATGCCTATTTTAAATTCAGAAAATGTATTGGATTATTTTTGTCAACGCAGTAACACATTTTATGATAAAACTTGCAATAATGAGCACATAAAAATGCAGAGACTTGACCCATCCCAATTGCAGTAAGTAATTTATTTTTTTCACTTTTTTTTTCTTTGACATTAGATAAGAGTATAAGATAGTTATTTATTATCTAAATTTACATTGATAAATTTTAATATTATTTTCTTTTAGATTTATGTCTGGTGTGGAGTATCAGCTGATACATTCCCAGGACCCTATACTCTACATAATCAGAAAACAGATGAGATATTCACAAACGCAAGGTTATCTTATAGTTTCATTTATAGTGTTTTTAATATATCATGTTAATTAAGTTTCACTTATAATTTTATACTTTTTTATTCTTTATTTTAACAAAAATTATAATACAATTTATTATAATCTATTATAAAAATTATTATAAAAATTGTAATACAAATTATTATAATTTAGAGTTAAGAAAGTTCATAGTATAAATTTAACATAGTAAAAATTATTTTTGACCTTTTTCAATGCTTAAACTTTTAAAATCTAAGAATATATTGGTTATTTAAAAACCATTATTTTATAACTTAAGATAATTAATAAAACTTAGGTAAAACAAATTAAAAACTAAAATTATAGTTGAATAGTTTTGAATTGTTCCCAAATCTTTAATTGGTAAACAAACAAAAAATTTCAATTATTTAAAACTTTTGTTTCAATTATTGCAATTGAAACAAAAGTTGTTTACAATATAATTATTGATTTTATCAATGGAATCAAATAATCAATTGTAATGGGGTAGTATTCTAGTGGTAAAATCTCAAGAACTGTTGCACTTATCCTGTTTATCAGTGCAGAAGCCTTGTTAAACAAGATCTGTGTTTTTGGAGTTTTGAATTTATATTTTTTAAAATTTATATGAGAATTATTATAAATTCTTAAAGTCCAGTTTTGTGCAGCTATGGATTGTGGCAATAAGTGTACAAGCTCATTGGATTTTAATTATGGAGCTCTGAAGCTTTACCCAAATTGAAACCCCTACCACACCTCTCCTTTGATAAAAAAAAAGGTGTTCTTAAACCATAGCCGTAGCAAGAGGGTCTGGCCCCCTTTCGCCCCTTTCCCCTCCCCCCCCCCCAAAAAAAAAAAAAAAAAAAAAAAAAACTAGCCATTAGGGCCCCAATTTTTGAAAACAGCTAGGTACCTGACATATTTTTACATCGCCATTCATAAGACTAAAAACAATCAAACTAACGCTTAAATTCAATTAAATACATTTTATAGTTGTTAAATTGATATAGAGTTTACTGGTGAAGAGTTTCTTTAACTACTGTAAATGTATTATGCAGACCAAACCAGATGGTTTGCGACATACTGTAAAAGTATGTCGCAAACCATCAAAAAAAGGGTTTGCGAAGTGTTTTCATGCAAACTAATTTATTATGTCTTCATAACTTAATTTCCTTGCAATCTTGTTCTCAATCGACAGCATTGCTAAGGAAGACAAGCGTTCATCAACCATTGTTTACCTATTTAAAGATACAAAGAAATATAGCTACATGTATTTACGTATAATGAAACAAGATTATTTATACTAACCTATGAAAAGTTTTAACTTGCTGAAGCTACATTCTGCACTTGCAACAGTAACTGGTAAAGTAAGAATGACTCGTAATGCAATAACTAGATTAGGGATAAGTTTCTTGCAGCTCTTCTTTGTAGATGTAGTTTAAGAAGTTGTGTGCATATTTTAGGAGAGTATTTTTTTCCTCCTTTATAACTATGACAAATCGTTTTAACGTTTTAATCACCAAACTTCATTTGCAAACTTTTGCAATATACAGACAGAGAATTTTCATTACAGGCTTTGATAAGACTGTCAGATTGGTAAAGAAAGTCATAACGCTTTGTGACAATGCTGATCTGTTCAAAATGCTCTTTTACTGATGCAATTGAAATATCGATTAGTGGTAAAAAGAAATCTGCTTTATACTGTTGTTCAAGTTGTCGAATGTGATCAACACACTTGATGAATAAATCATTTTTTTTTTCTTGAATGCACTCTCAGAAAAACCTTTTCAATGCCTTTCAAATACTTATGCAATTTATGATGCCTTAATATGTGCGTCGGAAAATCCATTTTTGTGATACTCATAAAGAAATGCATTTGTTGCCTTTATTTCACTAACTAATATGTTGAGAGAGGTTGCATAAGACTGAAGAAGCTTACTTGATTTATTGATTTGAAATAAAATATACCAAATAATGATTAATAATAAGAAAGGCCATGTTTTAATATATTCTGTCAGCGATTGTACTTCTGTGGCTGTTGCCCCATCTCCATTTCTAAGGCATGTTCTTCCAATCTTTCGAGTGCCTCTAATAAATAACCTTGAAATATGCAATCTAAATATAAACAATAATATATTCACAAATAATCATAAAATAAGCGTTTTAGAGATATATTTCTTCACACTATATGCGTTTTAGAAATATATTTAATATGTGTTTTAGAAATATATTTCTTCACACGATATGCTGCTGTTTATTGGTTTCTCATTAACAGTTTGACAGACTTTTATAAAGTTTACGTTTTATAATAAAATTCGGAACTCTGGAGTTTTTTTTTTTTTGCATTAAAAATATTACTGCTTTTTTTATGATTGCACAATTTAGGTAATATTGGGATTAAAGTGTCAGATTTTTTTATTAATAATAACAGTAACATTGTATATTTAAATATTTTTTTTATTATTTATTTATATATACTATTATAATATAAATATATATACCTATATATATATATATACCTTTTATATATATATATATACCTTTTATATATATATATATATATATATATATATATATATATATATATATATTGTTATTATTATTATTATTATTATTATTATTTATTTAAATACTTTTATTATTATATAATAAATACAAAAACAATTTTTTGATAATTTTTGAAAAGAGCCCCTAAAAATGTTGCCCCCGCTCCTAATTGGGTGTGTGGGGGAGCATAGCCACATCTCTTTCTCAAATTTTTAAAAAGTTTATACTATTTTACTTGATTTTTAATTATATAATGAATCCATTAATTTTCTTTATTAAAATAATAACATTTTATTTATTATTACTTTACAATTTTATAATTCTATTTTACAATTCCATTTTTTCTATTTTACACTGTTTATCCTTTTTTTACAGTGTTTATCTCTTCCTCCATGTCTGTTTAAGTTGACTGCTTGGAATGAACAAATTTGCCTATTTGACCTCCCAAATTGAGTTCATTATTATAGATAATAATGTTTTTCAAATGATTATGTCTTTTAAATATGTGCTTTACTAAAATTTTATAAAATATTCAGTTTTAAAAAAACATTAAAAAAAATTTTATTTTACATGTTTTTTAATTTACACTTTTAAGTTTTTTTATTATTATTTTCCATTGTTGTAATCATATTAGAAAAAAATTGTAATTGTTTTATTGATTTTATTATATTTAATTTCTTTTTTCTACACCTTGAAGTTATATAATTTTCCTTTTAACTTTTTTTTTTTCTTTCCTTTTTTTTTCCTAAACAGGCAGTTTCATCATTTTTGATACCATTGCAATGTTGAATAATCGTTAAATTAAAAATTCTCTTTTATGCATGTTTTTCTATTGACAAACTCTCAAGCAACAGGAGACAAACAACTTTTTTACTTTTAACACTGAGTCAGAAAACCATTTTTGAAACCAAGATATGGTAGACTTCTCAGTTAACAACTACTCAAAAATAAATTTACCTTATGCTTATTTATTATGTTTTGCAACATAATGCAAATAATTGACTGGAAAATAGTAACAGTTCCAGCATTAAAATGTTACAAATATAAAATGCTTATAATCTTTCATAGACCTCAATTTACATATTTTAAAGAGATATGATTAAAAGAAAAAAAATAGACAGTTAAATATTTGTTGCAGAGTAGAAGCTTACAATTTTTTTTATTTCATGTTTTTTTTTTTTTTTTTACTGAAGAACTCTTTACCAAAATCTTTCAACTATTCAGAGGAAACTAAATAAATGAAACAAGAGGCTTGCAAGGCTTTGATTTTGTACTTAGTAATCTAATGATAAAAAAGTAAGTTCAGCAAAAGGTTTTGTGCACAAGCTGAATTCTCCACATTTTATTTACTACATGTATGTGAATCTTGCATTCACATAGATATTGTTTGCTACACTAAATGTTATAACTTCTAAACATGTACTATCAGCAGTAGCCTGTTTATAATAGAGATGGGCGCAATAAAAATTAAAAAAGTAAAAAACTGTTTTATCATGTTCAAAGATCTTACTTTACAGGGTGTATATGTATACCATTAAAGATGTATGTGTGAATCTCATGGGACAAAATTTTTTTGTTTTCAATTTATCTTATCTCTTAGATTATCTCTTATCTTTATCTTTTAACATTACTTAACCTTAATAGTACAATATATAATAATCAATTATTTAATTTTTTTTAATTCAAGTGTTAAACATGTTCCAACTATCTTAATTTTTATTTAAACTGTTATTTTAAATTTTTTTAATAACAACCTCTGGCATTTTATTAATTCAGGTTTTTTTTAATAATAACTCTGCTGGCATTTTATTATTTCAATTTTTTTAAATAATAACGTCTCTGGTATTTTATTATTTTAAGTTTTTTTTGATAGCAACTTCTCTGTCATTTTATTATTTCAAGTTTTTTTTGTAGCTACTCCTCTGGCATTTTATTACATCTTAGCTGGTGTGGTGTATCAAGCTCCAGATATTGGTTCACTTATTAATTCAAAGTTGGTGAGTGTCTACAATTATCTGTGTCTTGGGGCTTGTGCTGGTGAGATTTATTTGACTGTCTAATAAATAATAAAATGTTATACCAAGCGTTCCTGCCCACCTAAACAGGCACTACCCCCTTAAATATACACTACCTACCTTAAAAATTCACCACCAACCTTAAACATGCACCACCCACCTTATACATGTACCACCCACCTTACATATATAGTTATTACTTACAACAACATAATTAAAAAAAAATAATAATAAAACTTTAAATAAGTTTCCTATTAGAACTTTTTTTTTATATAGCTATCATCTGTTCACCAACTACAGTCTGCGTTTGCTGAAGGTATTATTTTTATTTTGCCCTAATCATTTTTGATTTTGCATTGTAATTTGACAATTTATATAACTGTGTGGCAGCAAAAGCTTAAAAGTTATCAATTTTATTTTAAATTTTTTGTTAATAAGCAGTTAGTTATAGTGTTTATGCATAGTTACTATCTGCACTTTTAAATGGTTAGAAAGCTCAAGGACTGGTATAGTGATAGAGAGCAGGGTATGTGAAAGTTCAATCCTCATGACTATTTGGTAATAAAGTAATGTTTAGTTCTTTACATTGTAGCTCGTTCATATGCACGCTATAATCCCTCTAAAGGTTACTGGTGGCAGTTTACAGGTCTTATTTCTCTGTCTGTTTATATATACATATATATATATATATATATATATATATATATATATATATATATATATATATATATATATATATATATATATATATATATATATATATATATATATATATATATATATATATATATAACTCTGTTATATATTACTGTTATATATTACTGTTATATAAAATGCTATCTCTTTGTTTATACTCATTAAAACGAATTGAAAATGTTTTCACTTTTAAAGGTATAATATACAGTTATAATAATATATATTGATAATATATATCGATATAATAATATAAAATCATTATTATTTATACTTTTATACTATAGTCTAAGTTTTATATTTATAAACATACATTATATATACATATATAAATATATACATATATAAATATATATATATATATATATATATATATATATATATATATATATATATATATATATATATATATATTCAAGTTTGAAAAGTATATATTTAGAGGAATCAAAAACAAAAGGTAATGTTATCAAGAAAACCACCAAACCTGGTTCAGTTTTTCAACGGCAGAGGGTAGATTTGTTGCTATCTGATCTTGTTGAAAAGTATCCTCCTAGATTGGCAAAAGTAAGAAATTTTTTTTGATAAATGAGAATAAACGTTGCTAATGCTGATGGAATCTAATAGAATAAATGTTTAATACAATGGAAGAAAAACCATGAGTTTTTAATTTTTTAACTTTTTATTAACTAGTTTATTAATTTGGTTCTCAATGAATTAAGTAAGAGTATGAATCATTTGATCTACTAGGAAGACTGGTACTAGTAACATGTAGTCTAGTACAATATGCGGCATATCCTGCTGTCTTTTAGGACTCCCTTTTTCTGGCAAGTCTAGAAGAAGTTAATACTGACCTAAAATACTTAAAAGACTTCAAACTCTTATTCTGCTTTGGGCTATTGGGTAGGTAAAGAATAAAGAATAGCGTCTCAAAAAAAAAAAAAATCATTGCTTTAGTTATTGGTTTTTGCTTGTGCTTTTTTGATGGTCTTTGTGTAATCTCCTAGTGAAGATACTGCTCTAAAACTTAATTTAGTATTTCTGAGGCCAGCTGCTAATAAGGTTTCCTAAACTCTGTGTTAGCACTCAGAGGCTGATTCAGGGTCTTAACAGTGTTTATAGTTATATTGGGCTAAGAAAGTGTCTCTGTTAATACTTTTGGTACGCATATTCAATACCGCATAAGGAACTCTTTCTTATGACTTTAGACAAACAAGAATGAGGCAACTGTATCGTTCATTGCTTAAGGTGTCGTACATTATCTAAGATTGATTCAAGTTCTCTATTAATTAAAAACATGAATAATGAATATATAAAGTAAAAAACTTACCACTATATTGTTTCAATCTATCCTTTACAAATATTTGTGGTCTTCAAAGTAACGTTTCATCTATTGAATTTTGTATTTTTCAAAATTCACTAGGCCTACTTGTTTTTTGTGAGACTAATTTAAATGTGACTGTTTTATTTTCAGAGTGTTAATGACTGTTATCTTTTGATTCATTAAGGCTGCAATAGTCACTTTTTATCCATCAATTTGTTGTTAATGATGACTATAATGCTCGTCACACTGAATGGCTTGGCTCTAATAATGATAACAATGACCCTACTGGCTTAAATTTGGCTAAATCTCAAATGTTTGCTCAGCTTCTTGTTCTCCTTAAGGTGGTACCACAGGAAAAAAAGCTGATTTTTGAAGAAAAAGTCAAAACTTTTTTTTTAATGTTAATTGGTGCAAAATTTAATGCTCTTTTAAATAATATATAGGTTTCAGGTGTTTTTATGTCCTAAAATAGTGTTTTTGAGATTTTATCACAAGACAGTATAAAGATTTAGTCCATAGAAACACCTTAGCAACGGGTATTACTCCCTTAATCTTGCTTTTTATTGGAAAAATGATTAAGAATTAAACTGAACTGATTGTCAAATAAATATACTTTGCATTTCCATCAGGGTTAGGGTTAGGGTTAGCCAACCCTAACCCTAAACCTCAATTCTGGCCCTAACCCTGACTGGAAATGGGAGTTTATTCTGTTGTTTTACAATTTAATGAAGGTTGTAGTGGTATTACTAATGTTTTCAAAGCATTTGACTTACTTGGAAAATTTACCCTAAAAAAATCAGTTAAACAAGATGTTAATGGTGTAAGAAGAATGTTGCGGAAAGATTTGATTGAAATAAAAAACCAACGAAAGAGACAGTACATACAGTACATAAACAATACATAAAGGACTTTTAGACAAAGAAGAACAAATGAATTCTTATATACCTGATGAATTTATCTAAGATTATTAAGTGTTTCTTATTTTTTAAACTTAGTTTTGTCTTTGCCTTCAATTTTCTAGAGTTATGATTTCTGTGAAAACTCTAAATTTCAAAACATGATATCTCATCTAGTAATATAGCTTTAGAGCAGAAAATTTCATCGATGATTCATTAGATATTAAAGAATCATTTAACCGATAGGTTTTTTATAATGTTTTCTACTTTTTCCTATAGAAAGAATTTTAAAATAAAAAGCACCAAACTTTTCCAAATATTTATAACAAATTCATTAAAATCTGAAGAAACCATTTAGGCAAAAAAATCTTTTTAACCCCTATTTTAGGGTAAATTTTCACCATTATGAATAGTAACTTAATATTTTAAATTTTTTTTAATTGGAAAAAATATAAGTATGTAATATATCATAATGAAAGTTTTATCTTAGAGCCTGGATTTTAGTTTTTTTCCTGTGGTACCACCTTAAGTTGGTTCAAATCATGCTATGATCTCACTTTTATCTTTTACTTTTTTTACATTTAATTCACTCTTGTACCTCTTTATAATGTCTCAGATACAAGCAGGCGTAGAAGTTTTTATTTCTTCTTGTCGGTTTTAAGTGCCACATGATTATCTACTTGTACAGCTGCTATTTCTATTGCAACTGTTTCTTTTATCTTTTTCACAAGAATTTTTTTAATGAACTCTTTGGTAAACAAATGTCTTTTTATTGTAGTAAGAAACTGATGCAAAAAAGACAGGGCACTAAGATCCATTTCCAGATTACTAAATCTTTTATTAAATCTCAAAAGTTTATGTTCTAAAGACTTTTAGAAATCTTTATTAGTGTCATTAACAAAAGTAAGTCCAACATTCTCCCATAGCAACATTCCGTCTCCCATACTTTGATCCTAATTTCTCTACCTAAGATAAAACAGAGCTATTCGCAAATAACTTTTCCTCTAATTTATCTAATGTCTACACTCATTTTTTAAGTTCTTGTCAACTTAAAAAAACATGTTAATCAATTGTTAAACATCCAAATCTGAATTCTGTTGCATAAGTTACTTTTCCCATAACCTCCTATATTGTTGTTCGGGCAATATTTCTGTCTTAAAGAATTGTTCTCTAAAACACTATTTATCATTCTCTAAACTATTTAACAAGAATCTTGTTTATCTGTCTGCTGAAAAAAAGCTGTCGCAGAAGAGACATCATATTTAGCATCTGTGATCTTAAATAAATATGATGTCTCTTCTGTGACAGTTTGGGGCTTACAGTGGCTGAATAGTTATAGCTCAAACCAAACTCAGCTGTTTACTAATAATTATTGCTGTATTTTTGGTATTTATTTTTTTATATAAATGAATAGAATATGATACTTTATTATTCTGTATTGTTAAATAGAACACTCTTACTGATGATAGACTCATCATTTAGCAAAGTTGCATCTTTTTACTGTAACAGTTCCTTTATGCTCAAAAAACTTATTCATCTAATTTTTTTCCTTAAACATTAGTGCTTTGGAATTTTCTCCCTTCTTCATGTTTACCTAGCTCATACCGTTTATGGTTTCTAAAGTCTTTTTTCTTTTTCTTTTTTTTTTTAACTCCCTTTGTTTTTTGTTAACTTATTTTGCTTATTTAGTGGTTACTTGCACCTTTTTTAGGAATAAATGTAATGTGTCTTCTTTATGCTTTCCTTGTTATATGTCCTCCTTGTGTTATACAAGCTTGGTGTCTCTTTATAAATAAAAATTTTCTCGCAAATCACAATTTTCTTTCTGAAATTGTACGCTAAAGGGTTGACTAGAATATTGAATAGTTTTTAGTTCATTTTTAGATTCTAAACTGGCAAGAAATTACCTGCACATTTGATTTATTTTATAATTTTCAATCCAAGTTTTTTCTTTGATAGTTGTACAATTAGAATTTGTATTTACACCGGGTTGTAATTTGTACCACCACCGGGTTTTTCACAGTGTTTTCTTACTTTTCAAAATATCATTTTAATTGTTAATTTTAGATTTATTTAAAATTTTATTAAAAGCTTTTAAACTAATCAAGTTGTTACTAGCACTTAACAAATCAAGTTATAACTATAGACAATCAATAAAAACAGACTTTTATTGAAATAAAACAAACTAAAATAGTTATAAGCGACATTTGTTTAAAATAAAGATTAAGTTAAGTGAAACAACGTTTACCTAATATTTTATAAAATGTGTTATAAAAATTGTAAAACCCAATAAACACTATATATATATGCACACATACATGTGTTTTTTTTCTTTTTCTTTTTGGGGAAAAAACATGAATTTAGGTCGACAAAAAAAGTAGGCAAATGTTAGGGTGTTCCAAAAAAATGACTTTTTTAAATTTCAACTTACATGGCTTTTTATAAGGTGCTCCAACCTTGATATTACTAATTAAAAATTTTTTTTCACGAATAGATCACTCCATGACTTCCCTCAATGGGTCTAAAGGTCATTTTTTGCCCGTTCTTTGCCCATATTTCGGACTAACTGAGAGGAGTATTACCAATATCCAAATTAATTATTTTTTTTTTGTTATATCTTTTTGAAGAAAATAAAAATATAATGTTAAGCCTAATTATGTTTTTTTTAAAACAATGAAGATCAAAAAATTCAAAAAGTTTTGATTTATCTTATATATTTCACTATCTTTTACTAATGTTATCCTATGTACCATTTTAATGTGTTTTCTGTTATATTTTAAATACACACATATTTTTCATTTTGTGAACAATTATATTTTACCTTGTGTATGCAATTTGATTTTTAACTTATTTTATATTTTGGTTATCATTTATCTTTTCAGTAACTAATTAATTTAAAAAAAGAAGTTGAAGCTTACTCGAAATAAGGCTGAAGTATTTCTATTAAGAAAGTTAGAGAAAATCATTCATGTTATAAACTTTCTGCTGGCATAGAGGTTTTGCAATACTTCCTAAATCTAAGAAGCTTGAATCCTAAAGTAAAGAAAAAAAAAGGTTTTAATTAGGTATCATTTTACAATTAATTCATTTGAGCTCAGATGCTCTCCACATGCTGACTGTTGTGTAAGGTCTAAATTGGTAAGGCTATGGAACATTTATTTAAACATTAAATAAATTTTCTCTTTTAAAGATAGAAGATTGATGAAATGATGAACAACTGTTACAAGTCAAAGAAAAATAGCAAAAGGAACACCCAACATATACAAAAAGGAATGATGAATTTTTTGAAGAAATGTTAAAATGCTTTTGAATTAGTTAAAAAGTAAAAGATCTAATTGAAGATTTTACGAAAGGCAGACATTGCGTTTATCTTGGACCAACTTGGAAATAGGATGGGAAGAATAGCAACAAATGATAAAAGGTTTACCTGCACTCTTAAGAGATCCCATAAAAAATTGGGTTCCATGTTAAACATGGAAAAAAAACAACAATGGTAAAAATCTATTCATATTAGAAAACTCTTCAAATAGTGATAATAATTTTAACTGTGAATATGTAGCAGATATTAAAAAAAATCTACCTCTGTTGTTTTCTTACCAAAAATATAAAAAAAAAATATCTCTCACAACAATAGATGAGGGACTTTCAGTTAGGCAACACACTGCAAAAGTGGCAAGTGTTGAGGAGGAGGCGATGTTACTAATTTTGCAATACCTTCATTAACTGCGTTTAGAATTGCAGAGGAAGTTGTAACTAAAGAAGGAGAAAAGGTTAAAAAACATGTTACTGATTTTGTTGAATCTTCATTATTACCAATTATTATCCATTTCAATGGAAAAATAGTTAAGAAGTTTACAAACGGAATAGAACATCAACTTGACAGACTTGCTGTTTCCATCAGGATAGATGGACAGAGTGAGCTTCTTGGGATTCCTCATTTGAACTCTTGTACTGGAAGAAATGCAGAAGAATACAATCATACAACTTCTTCATCAGTTTAATATTTTTGATAAATTACAAGGAAGCGTTTTTGATACAACTTCTGTAAATACTGGTAATAAAAAGGGTGTGTGCATTAGATTAGCTGCAAAGCTTGATAGACCTCTACTTCTCCTAGCATTTAGGCATCACATCTATGAAAGGCATTTTATATTTATCCAAGCAGTAAAACAAATGGCCCAAATGGTCCATTGTTTATGAAGCTTAAAGATGTATGAAACTCAATTGATCAAAATTCCATTGTGTTAAACAATGTAAAAATTTAAGATATTTCTGATAGCTGGCTGCAGGTATAGTTCAAGGAAGCCTTATATTTTTCTCAAAATATTATCAGCATGAAAATAAAGAAAAATATATTTAAAATTTTGAATAAATTGAATACTTTGTGATAAAATAAGTTTAGTAAGCTACTATTTTGTGTCTAAATAAATAGTCTTATTTAGGACAAATGTAGGTCTAATTATCTAGAGTTAGTGCAATAGGCAACAATAGTTTTATCTAGTGATGAACAGTACAGACTAAGAAAACCTGAGCCTGTACACCATGCCAGATTTATGACAAAGGGAATATACTTTCTGAAAATGTATCTGCTTCTAGACAACATTTCTAGCTTGACAGATTTTGAGAAGAAATAAATAATTGATATGGCATTCTTCACAGCTGTATTTTACACTGAGTGGTTTATAAAGGCTGAAATTCCGGCTGTCGCTTAATATCAGGTGACATTTTTATGTTTTAAAATTTTGTAATCATTTATTACTTTTTTTTCTTTGAAAATTATCTGTAATATTTAATAGTCTAAAAATCTTTAGGTTATGAAAGCTCTTTAGCAAATTGTGAGATACTCAAAAATCCATCCTTTCCAGGCAAAACCTGTTATAGAGTCTCTAAAGAGACACACCTGGTACGTAGACCCAAATATTAAATATTAGTTATGTCTCTTGTTGACAAAAATGTACAAGAACAGAGTGACATTGCCAAGACGTTGTACTCAACCCCAAGACCTACAAATTATGCCATAGAGAGACATCTAGTTAATTTAAGTATTCTGAAATCCCTTATGTTTAATGATGATACTCTCCCAAGTTTGACCCCGCTTATAACTGACCTGAGTTGGTTAATTTTTCATATCTTAAACCATGCAAATGCTGAAGTACAGTGGCTTAAGGCTCCATCTGAGATATGGGTTCTAAATGACTATTACTTAGAATTCAAACAATTTGTGAATAATCTTGAAGTAGTGAATGACTGTAGTGAGAGGACTATAAAACTAGTTAAGGTATCTTTTTTTATGTTTGGTCCTTAATGTTTATGTTAAAAATCTCAGTTTATTTCACAA